TTGAGCTATACGTGAAATATTACTTGCTATTGGAATTTAAAAAAAAAAGACCCTGATTATCATAAATCCAACTGCATGGAATTGAAGGTTATTATCGATAATACCCTACCTCAGTAGACAAATGGGTAAGTTTGTGACCAAGAATACAATGTGTATAACTTTTGAAAAATTTCATTTATAACTTTTTGTTTTGTGTTTTGCAGTCATGATTGTGGAATATTTGTGATTTTATAAGCGTTATATATCCTTTGTAAACGTAGAGATTCCATTTCGCATACATTTGATGCCAGCAAGTGTAGAATGGACATTGTCACACTGCTGTACAAGCATAGGGAGATCTATGTGAAGAGGGCGAAGTAGCCTACAAAGGGGAGAGGATTGTTATAGAATGAAAGTATTTTATCAAATTTGTAAATGAAGTTGATGCTGTAGTTTTGTGCATTTTATGAATATTATTTTTTTCTACTGAATAAAGGTGATTGTGATGAATACTAACTTGTCGCTTTAAGGTCTGATTTGCAATACATGAATACATCATGTTTTTATTCATAATAAGATCTTGGTTAAATATTATTGCAATGAAAATATCATAGGTCTTTGATATCTTATGTCTCTTATATGACATAGTACATTGCATTTCTCATGTATAGTGTCTGATGTGTCATATGACACAGGTCACAGGTACACAACATAGGACATATATCTGTTGGAGACGGTCACATGTTGCACCACAAAGTACACGAGTCACATGTTACACAACACATCACATAATTTGTTGGGGAAGGTAGTCACATATATGTCATATTTGTTACAAAGGTAGTCACATTTATGTCTTACACCTTAGGTTACAGGTAATTATGAGATAGAATTGTTATGAAACAGATCTCACATCTGACATTGATAAGTGTGTTTTTACACACTTATTTAGCACTTTTTGAGACTTTATTATTGATAAAATTGAGTAGATTTCTATTTATAATTGTGTAATTGTTACTTTTGTAGGCTAAAACCCCGGAAAGCAGTATAACGAGCGAAAAGAGAAGGAAAAGGACTTGAAGTGCAAATATGGAAGGGCCTAAATGTAATAAAAGTCAAATTGTGAGGACCAAATTGCACTAAATGAAAGTTGAAGGACCTGATCTGCAATTTCGAGATTTTTTGGTCAACATTTTTATTATTTTATCCTTATTTTATTCTAGATATTTTTAGGATATTTATGTTGTGTCTATATATATATATATATATTTTATCCTTATTTTATGCTAGATATTTTTAGGATATTTATGTGTCTAATAATATTTTTTTATTATATTTTATACATATTTCATATATATACTAATATAACTTGGTAGGTAGAAAAATATTCCCCAACTCTTTCACTTTTCTCTCTATCTCTCTTGGTCTCTCTCTCTCTCTCTCTCTCTTTTTCTTGATTTTTCCTCTTTTAGTTTTATTTTCTTTTGTTAATTTTAGTTTTATTTAGGGAATCAAGTGGATATAGCAAGGAGATCATTAAGGAAAACTTGAAGAATACATTGAAGGAATTACAATTCGTATTTAAAAGGGTTTTATCTCAACTTTTGTATTCCTTTCATTTAGTTCTTCATGTTTGTAATGATATGTTTATGAGAATCTTTTTATTATTTTGTTAGAATGATGAACTAAACAAGTTTATGTTGGAATTTATGTATTAGCTTAACCTAATTTCATTAATATCGTGTTATATGTTGTTAGATATGCATTTGTTATCAAAATATTGGTGTATTAATTATCATGTTTAAAATTACTACATTTATTTGACGTCAATAGATGTAGTGATTAGGTAGTTGCGTAATTATTGAAAAATAGTTGCACATAATGAACCGAAATAATTAATACCATAGGTTTGTATGGTTTCGACTATACGCGTTTAGGTATTCAGACATGTATACATACCTTATGTGACCTGTTGAGTTATTTTCACAAAAATTGAATGCAGTTGTTTGGTTTAGAACGACATAGAAATATGTTAATGCTAAGCAATTATGGTTGATATCGCTCGACAGAGGTTATTGACTAATTTTGGAAAATCGGGTCTAACCACATATTTTGGTAATTTGCATCGACGCATAATTGGCTTGAAAAGGGTTAAGCGAAATCATAAATTCCAACATCTTTTAAAATCAAACTTTTTCACTTTTTAAGTATTATTTAAGTATTTTAAATCAAAATCGAGTTTTCGCCTTTTTATAGTTTTTAAAATCGAATTTTTAAATGTGTGTATCTTTTTCGTTAATTTGAAACAAACACACTCGTAATTGAAAACAAACACTCTCTAAGGGATCGACTGAGACTTAAAAGGTCCATTATACTACTTGATCGCGACCCGTGCACTTGTGGCGTGCCATTTAATACCGATTAAGTTTTTGGTCTGACATCACAGGTTTTCAATGTTTGATGACCATGTCATAACAAAAACATTTCATTTCTCAAGTGTAGCTTGATTTCTGTTATATGACGCAGATCACGTCATAGAATACAGAACACATATTTGTTAGAGAAGATCACATGTTATGATACATATGTTATAGTTTATGGCCTGAATGGAATTGGTAGTCACATAGATGTGTTTCATATAACAGTTATCAAACATCTACAGAATTCAAATGGAGGTCAAAGCTACTTATCAAAACTGACTACAAAATTCATTATGAGGTCATATGTGATTGTGAAATCAGTGAATAATTAATACACAACTGTGCAGATGTCGAAACTCAATTGTACTTGAAAACACAATGGTCATAGGTAATTTTTGTTGTGATATTTCAATGAATGCTTAAAATAAAAGAATATGATATATCTATGATCTATCTATATCATCTATTGATTTGCTACTATTAGTGGTTTTACTTTATCTGTCACGCTAGTTTAATGGAACCAAATTGGAGCGTCTCCAACGCTTGTGATCATGTCATCCACAACGCCTACATCTCACTGTTGGTTTCCCTTATTTGGATGATCTCTTCCTCTTCTCAGTAGGTCTTCTGGAACTACTCTTTTGGTTAAGAGCTAACACAATTTTGGATTATACTTCTATAGGTACTGTCCATTCGTTCGGATTTCCAACATGATATATAGAATTTTGGTAGCATTCATATATGCATCTCTTGTTTAATAATAAGAATAGTAAGCATTTTGATTCCTCTTTGTATTTACAATTACAGTCAAGGCTTGTGGACACAGTAACAAATCAACTTATAGAATCTTACATGTACATGTACACTGACAGAAAACACTGACTAGTTGGAAGGAGATACCTGTGAGAATGTAATAACAATTATAGTATCATGTCAAAGTTATGATGGATATGTCATATATATATATATATATATATATATATATATATATATATAGTCACATATTTATAATTCAAGTCACATGCATTTATATTCAAGAGACATACACTTAGGTCCAGGTAACACATGCAACTGACGCATACAAATAAGTTCTATCACAAACATACAGTTCAAGTCACATGCATTTATGGTGAGTCACATACATAAATTTTAGTGTCAGAGTAATAACATTACCCTCAAGTGCCTCAAATCTACACTCGTTTTCCTTATCTCTTTCTCATGCATGCTTGAAAATTTTGTGAAAGTGTCATGCACGTCATCTCTATGTTTACAAAATCAAGATTGTATGATTTACTGCAATGACTCTAGCAAAAATACAATAGGGTAATTCTTGGCTGCTTTTGTGACTGCATTAACCAATTCTACGATTTTCGAATTCATTGTAGAGTATCTGAATGCTGACATATGGACTCGTTACCACTTTTCGAGCTCAACATCTGCTTACAAACATATATCATATCGACGAGTATCATATAAATGACATCTGTGACCATTTTATGTATGTGAAAATGTAATCAGATGTAGTATACTACCAGGTAACTAGTAATCTTCTCATTCATTGTGTCCAGTCTTCGTGTGTTATATTCAAATTCTTCCAATGTATAAGCGCCGACAGCCAAATTGAATGCTTGTGTAATATTTTGACATGATTTCCCATAATATGATTTCAATTTTTGCAACAAATGATACGAACAAATAACCATGACATGTCCCGGGATATACATGTTCTATTTCATTTTTATACTTGTGTGACGATCCGATATAAAACACAGTCCTTCTCTGTGCCCATAAGCCTTTTTGAAATTATCCAAAAATCATCTCCAAAATTTATCGTTTTCATTGTCTCCAATTCCAAAAGCAATAATATATATGATGTTATATGCATCCTGTGTACATACTGTGAAAATGGTACCTCCATAATAACCATTCATGTAACATTCCGAAATTTTTTTAAGAAAATAAATAAATTATTATATTATTTTGAAAGTGAGGGATTAAGGTGAAATAAATATTAATATATTATATATTTGGGGTCAAATAATTGGATTTTGATAAAGTTATGATATGTATATCAATATTAGACTCATTTCGAAGGTCGTAATTAATTAGAAGTCTATGACTCGAGAAAAATTATTTTGGATAAGAACGTATTAAGTTATACCCAATTGAAAGAAAACAAGATAAATATAATTTTATATAATTTTAACCCATTTTGAATTTGATTGATTGGCTACCACATTTTTATTGGATAGGAATGGTAGTTCTTTTAGATGAAATAAAATAATGATAAAGTACAATTTTTTTATGATACGTGCCACATTGGATTTGACTTTATCAAATCAAAGTTTTGGTTTATCTACTACTCTAGCCTACACCTATAAATACTAGGCAAGGATTTCATATTTTACCACACCAAAAAATATGAACACGTGAAAGAGAGAGAAGAAAGAAAGAGAGAGAGAGAGAAAGAGGAAAGAGTGTGTGAAAACAGAAATTTATCATACATCAACTATCACTGTCGATCAATAAATCATTCACAGAGTAGAGGAAGGAATTTTGGAACGTGCATTCAAATATTTTTTGTGTACATTTCGATAACAGGTAAGATACATTTATGTGCAAAGTGTTTACGTTTCCTTATGCTCTTATATGCGATTAAATATGCATGGAATGCTAGTGGACCTTCGGGTTCTAGAGAAAGAGACATGAAATTTCTACATGGAAATTAAGAGGACCTAAGATAGGTGTGTCGCTTGGTCACCGATATACTCCATAAGAGAAGAGCGGTATGAAGTGTATTATTTATTTGTTATATACCTGTGTATGGAAATTTGCACGTATCTTACTGGGTATTTTTAATACTCACTCTTACATTAATTTTTCAGATTAGTTCGGGTCGATTGGAACAGTAGAGAATTGGTGATGCGGACTGCCAAGTGGATAAAGAATAGAGAAAAAGAAATAAGTTTGTCATTTTAAATTTAGCAATTTGTTTATTTTAATTTAGAACGCATTATTTGAATTACTTAGGAGTTTATGTTTATGGTTAGATACGCTTTCAATAATTTTAATCTAAACGTTACAATTATTTGTTTATTGAAGAATTTTATATAGTTCCGCATTTTTTTTAATTAAAGAAAAATGAGTTTTCGTAACGTTCCCGTGTTTATGCTAAATAATGAAAAAATTGGGGCGTTACAATTCAAGTAAATACCATCAACCATAATCACGAGTCTACAATACTCTCATCCCCGTATCGATGCATCAAGTGTCATAAAGCACTATTTGAACCTATTACGACTATCCACTTCTAGTTATGTGACCAAACCAGGATTCTTTCATAAGAGCATGAGAAGAAGCTCGGTATCTTACCAAATGATTTGGTTGGATCACCCCTAATCATTTTCAAAGTTTGTTCAAGATGTCCAAGCTTTCGAATAATTCAAATAAAACCCATAAATATGTAACATATCATTGCATATATCCTTCGGAGTATATATAGTACATGACAATGTGTAGTTATATATAATGGTAGATGACACAATCAAAGTTGATACTTGCCTGTGTGACCTTAACACAATATTTGATGGACATGTGTGACTACTAATCTTTCGAATCTTAAATAGATCTATTTTATCCCATTTCGATGATCAACATATCCAACTACATCTACCATATGAACGCCTAACAACATATTCTTTCTTGTCAAACCGTTTAATCATAAACTCAAACTTGTTCGATATGGCAAAAAAGGATCGGCTCATTTTCAAAATATTCTTATTATAGAAGACCTTTCCTTCTTCCACCTCCTTAGCATTAGCAACCAATACAACTATGACTTCAGTGTCACATATGTGACTCATTGTTTTAATTGATACGTCACAGATGTCTGAGGCCATAATTGGCACCGTGATAGATATATTATCAATTTTTGTATCTGTAACATCATTGATGAATGGGTATTTCACAAGTTCACGTTCCATATCGTTTAGTAGAATGTACGATAGCACATTATTATCATTTTTTTGTTATCCTGATTGGTGATAAATCCTCATTCATTACATAATTCAATGAGACTATTACCTTCATAGGATCCAAATGAAACACTATCATATCTGTGTCTACAAGGTTTACATAACTGCAATTGCGATCTAACAACGCTAACAATGATTGAGATCCATTTAACAAACATATGTGCAAGTACATCATTTCTGCAAACTAAAATTAACATCAATACTGACCTCGTGATGAAAGTAATACAATTTACAGAGTTCATACTGGTATGCCCATAATATAATACTTGTCACATTTTCTAAGAACTCAGAATTTAGCCAGCAAATGTAGAACACATACTTATCATATAAAATACAGGCCACATGGCCCAAATTGAATATCACAATTGGTGAAACATAGGTCATATCTCATTTACCATCATTCTCATATTTATCCTTCATATTCTACCCACTATACATAGCACACATAATATGCCCATAATATAGTGCATGTCACATTTGCAAACAAGTCAGTTATTTGCCACAAAATACAAGTTACATACATATCGAATAAAATGCAAGCCTATACCACCAAATACAGATTACATACATATCACATAGAAGCTTCATGTGCCTGAATTGAATATCATAGTACTGAAACATAGGTCACATTTTCAAAGAAGCCAGGAATTTCCCATCAAATATAGTTTACATACTTATCACGTACAATACAGGCCACATGTGCCCAAATTGAAAACGACAATGGGTGAAACATTGGTCACGGTTCATTTACCACAATTTTCATATTTATCCTTCATATTCCACCCACTACACACAGTACACGCATGAGTTACATATATGGGGAGCAGGTAATATGTGGAATGGTTATCTTAAAAGGGCTTATCCCATGTTGATCAAAGTGTCCGTGACATGTAAATTATAAGTTATGCTGATTCTGTGACGGCAAAATTATCCTCGTGTTTAGGGCATTCAATGCGTGACCGAAACAATTGAAGCGATTAGTTACTTCCTATAGCATTCAATTTGTGACTACAACATTCGAAACAGGTAAACAAAATAATCAGATTTTTCCTGGGTTGTCTTCTTCGATGATTATTTTCAGTTTCTCAACTCTAAGAGGTAATCTGTGACGAGAAATATCAATGTTCAATTAAATCGTTGATTTTGTTACCAAAATTAATCGGCACAATTACCTGTTTTGTTGTGAAAACTTGAAATCCAACTGAATTTTAATTTTGGAATGTGAATTTGTATTGTAAGAAGTCATGTTATACTATGAAAGCAGTCTTAATCGAATGTAATAGAATCTTTTTAAATATATATATTTTTCTATTTCGGGTATACTATATATCTGAGTTATGATTTTTTTTATTTTTATTTTTATTTTATACCTTGAATTTATCCGTGTGCAGGCTGCTATGGTTTGGCCCATTAAATGACACGAAGCCTAAATGGTTGCGGCCCAATGGTGCCCTCCCATCCTCACTAATCACATAACCCATGTCAAAATGCAGCCAATTGTTAACTTGATTCAATAGGTCCACTTCGTCCTGATCAATATGGCCCACAAAAAAGACTCCAGCCCAATCGTGGATCCATTAACAAAAACGTGGATCGATTTAAGATCACAAAACGGGCTCCTTCAATCAAACCCAAAGAATCAATGGGCCCAATAAATGTAGCTCGTCGTTCAAGTCCACCACATGCACCTTACCCGATCCATTGTGGATGTAATATTCCTCCAATTATTTATCAATAGTGAGCATAATTAATTAACTAAATGAAAAATTATGATTATATTTTAGGGTCCGTTTGGGTGCAAGAATTGAATTTGGATGGGAAAAAAAAACGAATTTCAGGGAATTAAATTGTTTAGAACTTGTTTTATTGAGAATTATCAATTAGATGTATTTGACTGGTATAATTTTCATTTAGAAAATATTGAAATTTTGGATTTTTTGGTGTTTGTTTGGTTTTATTTTTCATGAAAATTGTCAATTAAGGAGATAAAATTTGTTACAATTGGGGATAGAATTTGTTTCAATTGTAAAAAAAAAGCTGGAAAACGAAAAATTACCAAACCCATGAGAAAACATTTTCTTTAAAAAGGTGAAGAATTGTGCAAAAATAGGTTGTACCAAGAAAACCAATTCCAGATAAAATTGGCCCGTCAAACATGCAAAAAAGTGAAAAATGAAAAAAAAAATTCCATGAGAAATGGAGAGTATCAAGCACGCCCTTAGTATATTATAAGTAAAATTCAACAATTGCCTATAATATAATTTCTTGGGTCTTAATCTTACATTTAATTTACGTTTTATGATGAGAATTTATTTTGGCTCTCAATAATCTAGAGATCGAAGTTTGAATTGCAATTTAATTAAAATGAACGAGTAAAAGGAGGAACAGTGGCCAATGTCTAACCAAAATTGCAACTAAAACAATTTCAACCCAAGCATTTCCATATGAATTAACTTGTACGCCATGTTTTGGGCATTGTACTATTCTTTGCACTTACGGCAACATCAAGCATGAAGTCAATGACCCACGACCCACCATGATGGAATAAAGTGCCTTGAACCTCAAGATGTCCCTAACTTTTTTTCTTGTTACAAGTCCAGTATTCATTGCTTTTTTAGACCACTACCCTTCGCAAAATTTAGATTCTTTTTTATTATTTTATTATTTTTTGTCTTATCTTTTTATTTTTTTTTATTTTTTTTATTTTTTAATATGCATATTGAGGAGCAAAGATCATTTTACAAATCCTATTTTTTTGAAATAAATATTTTTGTACGTATTGTCAAAGTTTATTTAATGTTGTGAGGCTCCTCGGGCGAGGAAATTTGTTATTCATTTCGTTGTGAATTCTCAGGAATTTCATGATCTTCTAACTTGGGTTTTTTTTTTTTTTTTTTTGTTTCGTCTTAATAAAATATTATGGTCTTTCTCTACTTCATTATACTTTGCTAACTCGGTCCAGCTTTCTTTTATGTAAAAAGAATAACTTCAAATCTTAAGAATCAATATATAAAATGAATAATGTTATTTTCAGTCATGCACTGCCGTAGTCGTCATGTGTGACATACATGTGACGGTTAGTAATTTAATACATTAATATGATAGTTTTTTATTACATTATTTAACAAATCAATAATCGTCACATGTATATCACGTAGGCAACTGCGGTAGTGAACAACTGCAAATATCATTAATCTATAGAAATTATTGTCAGCATTAACAAATTATTTGTAGGGAAACAAGAATTAACATCACAACAATTAATTTCTTGTGAGGGGTTTAATTGTGTGTATATTTAACAAGAATGTAATGATTTTGTTCTAAATATAAAATAAATAGTTATTTTAAAAATTATCGTTATAGGTAATTTACAAAAATATCCTTTGCTTTGTTCTTCTTGATTCCTCTTACTTCCACCTTCAAATCATTTTTTTATCATCTCCGATATTTTTCAAAAGCTCAATTACTTCAAAAATTGTTGTGTTGGTTACAATAATAAAATCATGAATAGGAACCTTCCTATGTGCCCATATATAATACGAGATATAAATTCGGATATAATAATATTTCATATTCTCTTTCCAGATACAAGTGGCACACGTGTGGCACACGTTAGTGCCACGTGTTTAATACATGTGAATGCTTGATTGATACGTTTTTGTCCAATTAAATTTAATTACTTCCACAACCGTCCACGATAAATTATAACTCTTGTAACATATCTCAATTCTTGACCTAATAGGACACAATTATACTAAGCCTCAACAAATATAATAAAAATTTATATATTATTATTAGTATTTATGTTGACAATTTCGAATATTCGGAAAAATGTTAAAATGATCAAAGTGACATTTTTCAAGTATGCACAAATCATCAATTTACATTTTCTATTTGTGAATTTCATGTGATTACATC